GTCACCAGTGAGGACAACCACCGGGCGAGCCGTTGTCTCGGGGGGTCACACTGCACGTGCCGCGAACGGCGACGCAACGATGTCGGACGCTTCGCTGTCTGTTGACCTTCACGTGGCAGCTGTTTAGAACAGGGTTTGATGCTTCACAACGCGTGTGACGGTGGAAGGTCTTAGCACTGCAGCCCCTCACGGTTATCAAAGGACCGTCTGGAACCGACGGCGTTTTGGGCCAAGAACGGCGCGGAACTGTTGAGCTCCCGCGTCCCGGGCCATCGAAATTCGCACCTATATTGTTAAGATGGTGCGTAGTGTATGCAGTATTACTGCGATGAATATTTTCCGCGTCACTCAAAACCTCGCTTAGAGACGAATCGTTTAATGTCATGTTTGACATTTCTGGCAACAGCTTGATTGAATTCGGCTCATGGACGCGACTCTGTTTACCAAACAAAAGCGCGGCTCTGCGCGATGTCCATTTGGAACATCTTGAAGTTCTGGATGGCGGCGAGTCTTGCATGCAAAGACCTGGTTGTGAAAATAGTTATTTCTTTACAGCGATGTCCTTTTTATGCGACGGCAAGTAAATGTTTAACATAACATTGATAATCAAGGTTGACAAAGGCTGTTGGATGATACTCCATAGATCACATTTCTGGGGTGCATATCGCGGTCAGCGAGGCCTGTAAGCCACACAAACAAGTATTTTGCGACGACCCAAACAGCATTTTAAGCACACCGCAAAAGATTCTTGTTTGATTGAGATAGATGGATTTAGGCAATCTTATAGGGCACGCCTTTGTTTAACCGAACAGATCGCAGCTGCTTTATGTTCATATAGTATATCTTTACATTCGCGATATTTTTACTGGTTTTCCTCCGAATCACCATCCATAGTGTCGAGCGGGTTTGTATCTCCAGGAGTACAACTTCCGGTGCCATTATGCCGAGTTTCACAGAGCTCCGCTCTAGATTCCACTATAGTGCCGCGTCCACAGTTAGTTCCGCACATTACACATTCCAATTCCATAAAAATCGAGATGCATCCTTCGAGAAATGCGAAATTACGTTCCCAGTTATATCGCCTACCATGAGAACATCATCACGAAGGTGATGTCCTGTTCTCGGCTGGTCTCCTCTCTCTGCGCATGGCCGATGGCACAGAAAGAGTAAACACGTCCTAATATGTTAGGTGTTCGAGTTTTTTTCGCCATTAAACTACTGCTTTTTGGAAGCAAACCTGCGTTCCCTTCCCGCGAAAATGAGTATATCAAAACCGCTGTCGTAAGCTCAGTTTCTTGTTGCGTTTTAAAAAGCCAGGCTGAACTCATAGTCATATTAATATCATCAATCCCTCTGAAGCCCCTTTCATCGGGACTTTAGACGCGGCCGACTTCAACTGGAGCGTTTGGCTTCGCATGGGCGTCCATCTGGCAGCTCTCCAGTAGGCTCTTGACAGACGCGCCACATTCGTTTCCTTTAGCGTAAGGACCTGGTCCTCGTCAGTCTCTCAGTGTCAATCCGCTCCGGTTCGGTCATCAATCACAAACTCCTCCGTTTCATCAGCTCTACGTAACGGATAAGCAGATCATATCTTCCGGCTGTCCCCAAACGGTAACAGCACCCTGACCCCATTCGACGTCATTTATCATTCACAACGGCTGGGCAGAGTGACAGCACGCATGCTCATCACCGCCTGCATCTGTTTGCGGCGCGTAAACTTACTCCCTTTAATGGCGTCACTCGTAATAAACTTGGACAGCGTTCGTGCGCCAGGCCCCCCCCCCCCGCCTGACCTCAGTTGATTGCGCCTGCCAGTAATTTACTGCCGTCGCTGCCAAACGCCGCCTCGTGATTTACCACCATCATCATTGGTCAGGAGGTCTGACGTCACGTGGCGGTCGCGGATCCCGCGTTTCTCTGACTGACCCGACCCGACCCGCCGGTGCTGAACAGGGGCGGACCCGGTTCCGCGTCTAACCGCTGCATCGTTTCACGTTACACTTGTGCAATGCCTGGAGAGATGCAACCAAGCGAGAGGAAGTTCTGCTTCGCAAAGATCCCGGTGCGGGCATCTCAAATTTGCAAGAATATGCTGCGTCACTCCTTGCGATGTGAGCGCCTCCCTCCAAATTCGAGATGCACGTAAGAAACTCGACGAAATCTGTCCAACCCATTGCTGTCTTACTGGTCGCGTTTGTGACGATATAAACAGGCTACTCGCCGCATACCCAGTAACGCTACAAAGGCCCATGTGCTGGTCCCAGGGTGTGCACTTCGAAGTAAGTCACGTGTACCCTGTTTGCACGGGCGGTCGAAGGTAGTTGGAATTGAGACCGGAATGGATTCTCCGTGACATGACGACCGTGCCGGGACGGATGAGGGTAGCGGAGAACAAGCACGTCAGCATGGGCGGAGACGGGACGGGCTAGCTGAGGGACAGGACACATGGATCAGGAGCGGTAAATGCAGAACACGTGCATCAGGAGCGGTGGATGCAAAACACATGGATCAGGAGCGGTAGATGCAGAACACATGGATCAGGAGCAGTAAATACAGAACACGTGGATCAGGAGTGGTAGATGCAGCAATGTGATGCGGACGCCGATATAGGGAAACAGAAACAGAAAACCTTGAAACAGGCGACGACAGGTCGGAGTCTGGCCACGTCTCTGTGACTCGGGCTTCTGATCCTTTCCTGAGCGGATGCAGACGGAGGCGTTTCGTCTCATGGGGGAGGATTTCAGCCGGCAAGTGATTGGAGTGGGCCGAACGGCGCGGGGTTGTTTACATGGGCCCAATCCTTCGGCTCAGGTCAACTCAGGTCAGCTCAGGTGGGGTTTCAGCTTAATTCTAATCACAGCGCTCATGTTAACAGGGTTTTTGTAAGAAACATTCCAGAGAATGCTGCACAGGAACACGGACTGAGTACAGGCAGAAGTGTGCTGAAATCCACGCGAGCTCCGCAACCGTGCACATCTCACAGTTGGAGGCTAAAACCACCGAGTAAGATCGGGCTGAAGAATTTGTGGTATGTCAGCCAGCTGGCTGTCAAAGCATCTGCACCAAATATTAACACTAGCGGTGGCAAGTGTAATTTGAGGAGATGTTTTTGGTTGGTTCCTGATTTCAGGTCAACTCACTCAAATCATGAGGAGAGCATTAAAATGCCGTGACTTCAGCCCGTGATAAGGGCCGATAACTCAGCATGCGTCAGTTGGCAGCTGCCAAGGATAAACCTCACATATTCCAGCCATCCTAACGACTGCACTTACTCCTCTGATGCGAAGTGTATGGCCGACACATTGAGCTCGTTATTGAGCGCTCGCAGCTTCAGGCCAAGTAGGTGTGAAGAACCAAGGAGATGCGGCTAGGCGAAAAAGGCGGCTAAAAATGTGCTCGTCTCGGGCATCCAGATGTGTCACAGCCTCGTCAAGCGCTGTGACGTCACGGTCACGGCACTGCCGGCAGCTCGGCTCCCTTCTAACACGCTCTGCCGCTGCAGCCTGCAGGACATGGAGTCCGCCATCGTCAGCCTGGACGCGAAAATGAGGGCGGTGGCCAACGACTGCACCGACACGAGTCCAGGTGAGGCTCCGGCCAGTTACAGACTGCACCGACATGAGTCCAGGTGAGGCTCCGGCCAGTTACAGACTGCACCGACACGAGTCCAGGTGAGGCTCCGGCCGGTTACAGACTGCACCGACACGAGTCCAGGTGAGGCTCCGGCCAGTTACAGACTGCACCGACATGAGTCCAGGCGAGGCTCCGACCAGTTACAGACTGCACCGACACAAGTCCGGGTGAGGCTCCGGCCGGTTACAGACTGCACCGACACGAGTCCAGATGAGGCTCCGGCCAGTTACAGACTACACCGACACGAGTCCAGGTGAGGCTCCGGCCGGTTGCAGACTTCACCGACACGAGTCCAGGTGAGGCTCCGGCCAGTTACAGACTGCACCGCCACGAGTCCAGGTGAGGCTCCGGCCAGTTACAGACGGCACAACGGCACCCTGGCGGTCATGTGACGGAACTCTGCTTCGCGGGATGCTCCGGGAAGAGAGGCTCCGCGTTTTTTTTCTGGATCGGATAGCTCAAGTGCGCAAAAACTCATAACTTTGACATATATCGCGATGTGTTTTGGTGATAATGGTGATATAACTATGCATATATGACGATGGTGGCATGCCATGACGATACTTGTGGTAATGGCGGGTTTTTCACCTTGCATGTGTCTTTGATGGCTTTTCATTTGTGTCCTAAATACTTCCCTATTTCAGCGACTTTCATCTAAAGCATTTTAAATTTTCATTGCTCGGATGTTGCCGAACTTTGCCTGCGAGACGATTTCGCGTCGTAAACGTCTGATGACGCTGGTATCAGACCACGCTCTCGTCCGTGGCCGCCTGCAGGTCGCGCCAGGTGAACGAAGTGACCACGAAGACGCTGCGGGCGATCCTGACCCAGACGGCCGGCCAGAGTCGCAACGTGGAGAGCATCGCCGTCTACATGGCCAAGATGGAGGGCCGCATGCTCAACATGGATAGAGCCCTGCAGAAGGTACGCGGCCGCCACGAGCGGGGGGGGGGGAGGCAGTTCGGGGTGTCGGGCTCGCTTGGCGTTCGGAGCCGGGACCAGCTTCGTCGGGCGGGAGCTCGCTGTGTCAGAGGGGCGTGCGGCAATGAGGAAAAACACATACATCAGACAGTGGGAATATATTGGAAGATCGAGGGAGAGAGGAATTAGAGAATTGGAAGAAATGTGGGTAAGATGGGAGATTAAGACGAGGCTCAAGAGGGGCAAAAGAAAGGAGAGAAGAACGCAGAGAGCTGATGTAGGGAGGTTGGCAGAGAGGTAAGGGGTAGGGGGAGAGAAAGAGAGAGAGGAAAAAGAGGAGAGAGGG